ACTTCCTGTTTTAATTTCCTAACTTCCTGTTCTGTTCTGTTCTGAGCGTTGTTATTGGTCGATTATTTTTGTTAGCCAATTGCAACACGCAGAACAGAACAGGAAGTTAGGAACTTGTAACAGGAAGTTAAGAACTTCTAACAGGAACTGAGGAAAATTTTTTTGGCTTTTAGGAACATTGCAAATTCCCTCAAGGAATTTGCAAGGGAGTTCTTTAAATTGCAAAAGTAATGAGGAAAATTGCAATCAATTTAGAAACTCAAAAGAGGAACGCTTCACGTAGTTTACCTGTAATATACTTGTACTATATATACATGCAAAACGTTATAGAACTATGTTTACTATGTAATTCTCGCCTACACATGCAGCGTTTATTAATAGAGCTTTAAACTTGTAGGTTGTTACAGTAAAGTCTAAAGATGCTTGGTAGCTTGGTCTTTGTTTTCCCTTGTTTGTGTTCGCCTTTGGGACATAGAATAGAAAATAAATAGAAGGGTAACTCGCGTCGGAACCTTTGAAGTTGTTGTCCTCACGCATATCGCATATATCTTCGCATTACACATGTTGTCCACAATTACTCTGGCCAGTAAATTGCATGTTAATTGACCTTCTGGCCAATAAACACACTGCACTGGCTGGTCTGCCATTATTCTGGCCAGTAAACTGCATGTTAATTGTCCTTCTGGCCAATAAACACACTGCACTGGCTGGTCTGCCATTATTCTGGTCAGTAAACTGCATGTTAATTGTCCTTCTAGCCAATAAACACACTGAACTGGCTAGTCTTCCATTACTCTGGCCAGTAAACTGCATGTTAATTGACCTTCTGGCCAATAAACACACTGAACTGGCTAGTCTTCCATTATTCTGGTCAGTAAACTGCATGTTAATTGACCTTCTAGCCAATAAACACACTGAACTGGCTAGTCTTCCATTATTCTGGTCAGTAAACTGCATGTTAATTGACCTTCTGGCTAATAAACACACTGAACTGGCTAGTCTTCCATTACTCTGGCCAGTAAACTGCATGTTAATTGACCTTCTGGCCAATAAACACACTGAACTGGCTAGTCTTCCATTATTCTGGTCAGTAAACTGCATGTTAATTGACCTTCTAGCCAATAAACACACTGAACTGGCTAGTCTTCCATTATTCTGGTCAGTAAACTGCATGTTAATTGACCTTCTGGCTAATAAACACACTGAACTGGCTAGTCTTCCATTACTCTGGCCAGTAAACTGCATGTTAATTGTCCTTCTGGCCAATAAACACACTGAACTGGCTAATCTTCCATTATTCTGGTCAGTAAACTGCATAAAATATAGGGGGACACCAGAGGGGGGGCACGTTGCATGGCTGAGTTGCTCTTTAGTTCTGCTAATTCCTATTCTGTGCTTTGGTAATTTACGCAGTGAATGAAAAACGATCTTACCCTGGCACGGGAATCGGTGTCGACTCCTTTGGCTAGTAAAACTTCGGTGGCTTCAACATTGCCGTAGTGGGCTGCGATGTGGATCGGGCATAGACCATCCTTGACAAAAAAAGTTAGAGAAAATGTTTGGAGCGACTTTCAGAAGTCGCATGAAAATACTGCACGCAGCAGAGAAGTGTTTTTTTTTTTTATATAAAACGTCTTTTAGGTGAATCAGCTTTAAACTTTTCTTCCTGGAAATCCAGCAATTTATTGGTCTAGTGTCACTAAATTCTAAGGAAACCTACACTAAAGTACTAAACTAACTTTATCTGTAGAGGACAGGTCGAGCAGTTCTGAACTGTTCTTCCTATATAGAGGTCTGGACAGTAAGAATGATCTCTTACTAATCCAGTGTTACTACAGGAAGAAACCTATATTAAACTAACTTTATTTACACTGGATAACTCTATCAGTTCTAAACAGTCAGAGATGAAAATGTAAGGCACATGTCACTAACCACTGTGACACTAAAAGCAGCGTTTGTTTACTACAGAAGCAATAAACTATATATATGTATCACCTACCACAGCAACAGCATTCAATGGTGCGCCATGGTCAATCAGAGAAGCGATGGTTTTTGAATGGTTGCCTTGTACAGCCAGATGTAGCGGAGTTAGTCCATTCTAACGACGAACATAAAAAAAAAAACAGTTAGATGTGACTAAACGGACTTTATTTATACTGGATAGCTCTAGTAGTCCTAAACTGTTCTCCCTAGAGGTCCAGTAAGGATCATCTCTTATTGATCCAGTGTTACTACAGGAGGAAACCTAAACTAAACTAACTTTATTTATACTGGATATCTTTATCAGTTCTAAACTGTTCTTCCTAGAGGTCCAGTAAGGATCATCTCTTATTGATCCAGTGTTACTACAGGAGGAAACCTAAACTAAACTAAACTAACTTTATTTATACTAGACGACTCTATCAGTTCTAAACTGTTCTTCCTAGAAGTCCAGTAAGGCTAACACATGAAATGACATACCTTGGTTTTTGCAGCAATGTTGGAAGTGTAACCGATGAGATTTTCTGCAATGACGGTGTGACCTTCACGAGATGCACAATGAAGAGAGGTCAAACCATCCTAGAACAGTAGAATAAGTTGCATTACATACGTCTGATGAAAATAAAGCCTCGGTCAAACGAGGATGAGAGTTGATGACAGTTGCAACTCTCGCTCGCATTTTACCGCCAACTCTCGTCAACTCTCATGTACTCTCGTTGACTTTGAGCTGGTTCAAATTTTGATGAGAGTTGAAGAAAGTTTTCGCTAATCTAAATTGGAAACCTCTCGAAGAAAGACGAAATTATCTTTAATCTATTTTCATCTATAAAATTTTGAATGGCTACACTGCACTCAGTCTTAAAGAATGCAATCTTAGAAATAGGGATACTGATTTATCACCACCTATGCCAAAAAAGAATTCGGCAAGAGGTGCTTCATTCATAATGGTGCCTTGCATTGGAATAATGTATCTCGTTTGACGAGGCATGAGAGTTTAGAAAACTCTTATGCAAACTCTCGCTTCTCAACTCTCATGCAAACTCTTGTTCTCATTTAACCGAGGCATGAGAGTTGAGAAAACTCTCATGCAAACTCTTGCTTCTCAACTATCATCAGCTCTCATGCAACTCTTGTTCTCGTTTGACCGGGGCATGCATGAGAGATGATAGAAAAAAACTCTCATGCAAACTTTCGCTCAAAACAAGGATAAGAGTTAATGAGGCAGTTATACGAATTGTTACAGGGGACATTTTAATATCTAGGTTAACAAAATAAAAGTTGTTCCAACTAGAATACTTTTTGTTTGTGGAAACACCATATAAATTTATTACTGCAAAGCTTTCGATCCGTAAGCACGGATCTTCATCAGTGCTAATAATATGTAGACTCGTACGCATACTCGAACCGACCTGACCGCGTAGCTCAGTTGGAAGAGCATTGGGCTAGTATTCCAAAGGTCGTAGGTTCGAATCCCACCGTGGCCAGGCATATTTTTCAAGCCTGTCCGGTGTGGATATACACTCAGAGTAACATCACACAAACATCTTATTCACCTGAGTACATTACACCAACACATGCAGCAGATAAAATGATAGTTT